CAGTGCAACAATGCTGGCCCTGGGAAAGTTGATTTCTTTTGTTTCGGAAGAATGGAAATTTTGATAACTTTGCAGAAGTGGACAATTGAGAAACAAAATTTGGTTGCACTTTAAAACCTTTATGTAGTAGAGACAAAAGACATGAGTTATGTTTGAACTTATTAGACTTTTTTTCTTTTCTTCTTTTTCTCTCTTTTTTAAGGCAACCTCATTAGGCTATAGCATATACAGTGGGGCCTTTATGTAAAGCTAGTGTATGGATAGTAAGCTGAGTTTGCACTGAAAAGACAAGTTGGAGCAGATTTGAGAATTACATCAGGGATTTGAAAGGCCAACAGGAAGTACAGTAAATGCAGGAGGTGGAGTGTGTGAATGTTTTTTGTTCCTCTGTAGCCTTAGGCAAAATATATTTTTGGAGAGTCACTTTTTATATGCAGGAGAGTTTCTATTTCCAATATTCTCACACTTCTGATAATATAAACCAGGGTCTTATTACTTTCCGTTGATATTGTTAAAATAATTATTGAGCTTATCTTTTGGTTATCTAAGTAAGATAGTTTGAGAAACATGTTTTCTTTCCCTGACAGTTTGTTCCCGGCGCAGTGATAGATTTTTTGCATACATATATTAAGAACATGGTTCTGTGTTTTTTTTGTTGTAACTCAGATACACTGAGCAACCCAACTTCACCTGTTTAAGTGTCTTGTCCCCCACAAGAGGGGCAAGAATTAGTTCAAAGAACCAGTTATGTGTACTCATCTTGTACATTCAAATGGCATATGCAAGAGTAAAATCAACTAAAATTAACATTCAGAGTCTTCCCACTCCACCAAAATTCTAACTCAGAATCTCAGGTTGAATGGGTGAGATTTTTTGCATGGGTTTTAAGATCCAGGGATTATTCTGATGCACAGCTGAGTAAGGTACACTCCCATTCAACAGGACTGTTACCAAAGTAAGCAATTGGATCTCTGAGTCTGCCTTTGACGATGGGGAAGGTCTGCCTGACTTGTGAGAAGACTGAGACATGAGCTTATTTCTGCAATGTGGATAGCTCTTTCCTAAGCAGCAAGTGAAGAGTCAGGAACTTTGAGCTCTTCTGAGAGGGTAGTGTTTAAACTGCTCAATGGAGAGGATTGGGCAGATCTGGAGTCAGACATGGAGACTGTCTAGAAAGTGGAATTACCACAGTAAAAGACTCAAAGAATTCCGTGTTCACTAGACGATATCTGTGAAACAGAAAGAGAACAAGAAAGCTGGGATGGGCACCTGTGGAGCCAACCATGGCAGGCGCACGTGTGGGCCTAAGACGAGGCATTGACTGCCAGGCTCAGATCTTTATTTTCATAGCTCATGCTGACCTTTGTGTGAATAATGCGTGATTGAAACGAGGTAAAGTGAAAGCAGTTAGAAGTTTATACCAGAAGTATAGGGAAGAAAATTAACTTAATCTGAAGATGAGCAATGGATACAAATATCAGAGAAATAAAAGATTTTCATGGGGCATGGTAGAGAAATGATGGTATTTAAGAAAATTGAATTTGGAAGATATTAAAGAATTAAAATTGAGGACCCATCAGGCATATTGGTGGATGAGGCTGTTGCATATACCTTTGCATGTTGAGAAGTAATGCAGTTAAGTTACAGCAAGTAGGTGTTCATGTATACTTGACATACTTTTATCTTCTAGAAGAAATGTAAAACTGGGAAGGACTTGAATAGCAAAAGAATGGGTATAAATGAGATCAGAGAAATAATATATTACCAAAACTGGATTTTTAAAAATGACTTATTGATTTAGGAAAGTCATATATATGTATACACAAAGAGAAGGAGAGATAAAGAGGAAGAAATTTGGTCTGTTGATGCACTCCCCAAGCGGCCGCATTGGCTGAAGCTGTGCCAATCTGAAGCTGGGAGGGAGCTTGGAGCCTCTTCTGGGTCTCCCAAGCGGGTGCAGGGTCCCAAGGCTTTGGGCTGTCCTCGACTGCTTTCCCAGGCCACAGGCAGGTAGCTGAATGGGAAGCAGAGCTGCTGAGATTGGAACCAGTGCCTATATTGGATCTCGGTGGCACATACAAGGAGAGGACTTTTGCTGCTAGGCTACTGTGCCGGGTCCCAGCTGTTGTTTAAAGTCTAGGGCTTAGTTGCAGTACAGAAAGGCAGCAGAGTGCTTGAGCTCCCTATGCCCTCCACATGTAAGCCCCTCTGGACACTGTGGTAATTGAGGATCCAGTGCAGTGACTCATGCAGCAGGCTTTTCTGTTTTCCGGGTGAGGTCCGGGTACTGTGTGGCATCCACATTGAGTGGAGTGGGGCTGCCTCTTAAACCCTACCTGTTTCCTCAATAGACCTGTTTTGACCTCTTCATATTAAGCACTTAGAGCAGCATCTCTCACCTGCCTGCTTCTTTCCATTCCCGATTTGTGGTTTCATCTTTTCTCCAGTTATAAGTTATCTTAGGAGAGTTGCGTTGGTTTTTCCATTCAGGATTTTTATACTTGGACATCCACCCCTACTGCTTTTGTTAGCCTCGAACTCTCATCCTCACTGCATCTGTGTGTTCTGCCTGTATTCCCTCTTCCCGCATAAGGCAGTGGGGATGCAGGAGGCCAGGATACAGATGCCCAGTGTTCTGCAGCCGAGTGAGGAGCGGGGAGGCCTGTGTAGACTTCAGGGTGTAGGGAACCCCCTTCTTCTTGCACAGGTGCATTTGTACGGGTGCATTTTGTGTCACAGTCTGGAGCTCACTCACTGGTTTCTTACTTTCTGCTCTTTGGGTTTTTTCAAGTGCTGTTTTCAGAAGAAAAAAAAAATGTCAAGGATTAAGGCAGTCCTGGAGAGACAAATATAATTCTTTCAAATCTTTAAACTTGTGCAAATCTGTAGATATTCTTCAGGAATACAGCTAGGCTTGGAATGCACATGTTGAGAAACTAGAATGCACTCAGTGTCTCCTTTTGCTAAACACAATGTGGAAAGCTTCATGCAGTTTAACTTATCTAAGACTTATATTTTGCCTTAGGGATTAGAATGGCTTAATAGATAAAACATACTCCGGAAGATTTGATGGCTTTTCCAAGGCCATATCATGCATAATTTTGTTTTATGCTACTTAATTTGATGGATCTGTACAACAATAGCAATCACATCTCAAGTTGTAGGTTTACCTGTATTATTTGAATAAAATGAACAAGACTTCTCCACAGCATAAATCAGACACAAAGACTTCAGAAGCATCATAAACTGGAGATAAGTCAGCATCAGGGAACTTAGAGAAAGGATAAATGGGATGTTCCCATTGGTGGCCAGGCAAAATCAAGCAAGACAGATTTTTCTGGGAAGCACAAAGAGACTTTTAAGAGAACAGGAAAGAAAATGTTCTGAGGCATCTTTGAAGGAAATGAGTAATTGGGGAGAGAATTCAATCATAGGAAGATGAGAGAGTCAGTTCAAGTTGGGACTTAAAAGGTAATGAATGTGCAGACCAAGCCCAGATGGAGTCTCTGAACTGAGATCAGTGCCTTTTAAGGGGTGCTTTATCAGTTTGCCATGTGAAGATTCGATCTGAAGCTCTTGTTGCTTTTGGGGGAAAAGTTTCTAGGCCTTCTTTGGTTTGATCTGACAGAGAGGTGAGGGGTTCTTCTGCCCTCTAACAACGTAGTAGAGAAAAAGGGACTTTTTAACAAATAATTGCTTAGGCTGTGGCTTACTTGCTATAGACAGTGGAAGTGATGATTAGTGGGGAAGAAGCAGAGAAGGGTGCTCAGCCTAAGGCACCAGTGTGGAGTGGAAATATATCACACCGAGAAACAGAAACAAGGCTGAGGCACTCTAGTCAGAAATACTGAAGCAGCCATAGCACAAAGAATATGGGCTGGGGAATGGGGGAGAGGTACAGTGTCTCATACATGGTCTATGCTTTAGAATTAGGAGAGACCATTTATATAGTCCAGCATTATAAAGAGGAGGAGTGGCAACCTGCATAGAGCTGACTTGGTGTTTTCATATTTATGGAGAACAAACCTTGTCTGCCTCTGCCTCTGCCTCCTGCTCTCTGGATGAACAGAGATGGACTGTCCTGTACCAGCTTCCCGGTGCCATGCTGAGAAAGGTCAACTCTAGACTATGTTGTCTTAAATCCTACCCTGTGTCTCCTAAGCTGCAATGTAATGGTAGTAGTGATCAGTCTTACAGGGTTCTTAAGATGACGAACTCACTTGAATCACACTTGGCTGAGTAGAAGACAAGTATTAACTAGTCTATTTTTTGTTGAACACTAGCCATGGTCCTTGCCATTGATTAGATTTTAAACTCATGAAAACAGAAGTACAGACAGGCTTCAGAGTGCTCTGGAAGAAGCATGTACTCTGAAAGATGTAAGAACATGATTCTAAGGGAATGAGGGTGCAAAGCATTGATGTCTCTGGGAAGACTCCAAAAGTGAGTAGGGTTTTGCTGGAGGATGAGAAGTTAGGGGAGGGAGCAATGGGGTAAGAACCTTCAGGTGAAGGCAATGTTCCAGGTTCCCAGGGGCAGGGCATGTACTCCTGTGGATAACAGTGGCATATATGATTTGGAAAAACATGCAACAAGGTGCAGCTGTGAGGAAGCTTACACAGTGAGGACGCAGGATTACAGATCTCAGGGAGAGACATTATGGGGGACACTGGATGTCCCTTCTTTTATGTTTCTGTACAAGCTTTTCAACACGGAATGACATATTCAGGATAGTGTCTTTGAAAAATAATTTTAGTTACATTTTCATTAATATTCTTTATTGATGAATTATGGTTCCAACAGTATTTGAGAGTTTAGAGAGCATCATTCTCCTTACATCAATGCCATTTGATTGGTTAGTTGGCAATGAATATGTTATCAGAATGTTATGGAAAAGAATCAGATTATAAAATATGTTTTTTGTGTGTCATACAAAGTACATAGACTATTTCGTGAAGCATCTGATTTTTATTTCCTCACTTTTAATGTATTCTTTTCAGGTCTGACAGCAGCAGCTGCAGCAGCTGCTGCCGCTACCAATGCAGCTATTGCTGAAGCAATGAAGGTGAAAAAAATCAAACTAGAAGCTATGAGCAACTATCATGCCAGTAATAACCAACATGGAGCAGATTCTGAAAATGGGGACATGAATTCAAGTGTCGGTAAGTTTTATATTGACTGAAACTTCTTTTGATCACAGTGCTCCAGAATTACTGACTTTTCTAGAACAAAATTATTGAATACATATTGAAAACTTGGCTCATTGAAAATGGTATAGATTTCAAAGATAATCATTTGTGTCTCCAGCAACATGCACTCAACATAAAATATTGGTGATTTTTTTTATTAGAAGGTCAATTTCATGACTTAATTTTCTACTATAAGTTTTGAATTAGCATCTTTCATTACATAAATTTTAGTAAGTAGGATTCTACAGTACTTATTCGTAGGAGAAAAATATGTACAAGTGAAATCCTATACTTTATTTTTGCAGTCAATTAATGCACTAGTTATCAATAACACATTTGTTGCCAATGGTAACAAAATGTATCTAGTAGTGTATACTATCTATAATTCATCCATACGAGGAACTTTCTGAAGTCCCTAGCTGTTGCCTGAAAATTTTATGTACTACATATAGACCTATGATAAAATTTAATCTGTAAGATATGTAGAGTGAAAAATGAACAATAATGACTAATAATAAATTGAACAATTATTATTATATACTAAGACAAGTTATTTAGAACTGTTCTATTCTTTATTTTTGGAATTTTCCCCTTAGTAGTTTTGGATCTTGGTTGACTGCAGGTCTTTAAGGCAGTGGAAAGTGAACCCTCAGGTGCTGTACTGTAAACTCAGCCATTCACATGCTGACAGATAAGGATTATGTTGATACCAAGTTATTTTTATACACAATCATTGTGACTCTCTCTCTCTCTCCTTAAAAATACAACTTTAACTTCTCTTCTTTCCTGCTGTGTGGAGAAAGAAGAAAAGTTGTCACCATCAAACCAAATAGAACAGATTTGGTTTTTGCAAAATATTAATTTCACTGATTTTTTCAAGCAGTCTGTCAAATGTGGATGAATTCTTTTATTAATGAAGATTGTGGATGCTACTGTGGTAAACCATTTTGCTCTACTTATACAATGAATTGCTTTCACTTAAAATGCAAAAAATATTCAACAGGACAAACTTGGATACTGTAAGATGTGTGCATGATACTATATTCAACATTTGCTCATGAAGAAAGCAGTGATTCTCTTTCCCATGTGGCATGTTAGCACATTATTTCTTATGTTAAACAGTAGTTCTCTGCTTTTCTTTCATTAAGACAAAGTCAAAGGTATACAAAGGAAAAGTATGGATTGTCAAAATAATCATTATCACAACAACTGCAAACATATGCCTGACATACATTTTAGAGTGGAAAGTGATTTCTAAATACATACATAAAACACAAACTGTCATGGCTTCCATGATAATAAAGGACAGTTGTTAAGGTTATAGGGGAAAATAGAACTTTTTCAGCAGAACAACATAATGAGAATTGAAAGATTTGGCAACTGCGGCCTAAACAAAGTGTTCATGGAGGTGGCAGTGTATGGAAAGATGAGACAACATGGAAAAGAGCCCAGATAGCTGACTGCAGAACTGCGAGGATCGCAGAGAGGATCAGCACTTGTGTTTGTGAACACTTCCTGGAAGTAGACAGGGAGGGCACGGAATTGGTCATGGTTGGGACAAATTTACACTTGTAAAATGAACAGCTTTGAAATAAAATGGAATTATAGTTCTGTTGGTTGAACTATTAAGTATACCTTGCTTTAAAATGAAAACCCCTTGCTTTAGCTTTAAAAACAGGATAGGGGAATTGAATCCTCCCCAACTGCTCCCCCCCCCCCATTTTTCCCTTAAATCAAGCCATCAACCATTCAAAGTCACAGCTGTCATTCAAAATATAGTCTGGATTGTTATCAGAATTTTCCAATTGGAGGCTTCTATTGCAGACCTCTCTCGGTAGTGCACGTTGTGCTGGGATACTCTAAATAATGGAGCTGATAGCACTGAAGGCAACGTACATTTGAATCTGATGCCTCTGAGTTTTCCTCAGCAGTAGACCAAACAGGTTCTGTGGAGGCATCCATGGCCAGAAATCAGCATGTCCCTACTAAATACTGATGTACATCTACTAATTGATCACATGTGTTAGTTTGTGCATAGTGGCCAAATTATAGATTACTTTAATAATTTCATAGTGGCTTAAAAGAAGAAACAACTAGAATTCCTTTTGAATGGTAATAGGAAGAAATGAGCTTCCTTCCATTAAAGTGGTTAGTCTACGCTACTTCTGAGTTTTTGCATTCACCATCCCAAATCATTTTGAACCAGGAGAAGAAATTGACTTTAATGTTGCTGGAAAGGATTAGGACAACATTCTCTTGGTTTTCTTACTCTCTCTGCTGATGTCCTCTATCAATGGATGATTTATATCCTCATGAAAAACCTACCCCCAGACCTCTAAGAATCAGGGAAAGCGAGCTTGGGTGTGGTGGGGAGAGGTGAGGTGGGTGAGGAAATAGAGCAACGTGGGAGATGGTGCTTGAATTTACCACAATGAAAGCAGCGTTGACCTGACCAGTTGATACAGCACCGCCAGTCTCAGTGAGGATTGGTAGATTCCGCTCTTGGTAAGTGTTCAGAGATTTCTTGCTCTGTGACTTTGAAAGGTTATGTATACTTTCTGAACCTCACATTGCACTGTGGAAAATGGCACAAATGATATTATCTACGTCATGGGAAATAAAATATTTGGCAAGTGTTTATGCTATTATTGATTGCAGTGTCCACTTACCACATTGTTTGGTCATCAGTTAATTACAGTTTATGTATTGCTTTTGCTCTTACTGTTTACACAAACTTTCATTCCTGAAAATACCTTCTTCCTCTTTTTACTGCCATCAGCTGCTTCCTCCACTATTTTTCCGTTCTTTCTGACAGGTATTTACTTGAAAAAAAAAATGCGTGTTTGTGTAGAAATTTGGGGGCAGCTGTCCCAGTTTAGATTTTGTCATAGAAATGATGGTAAATTATTCAACAATACAAAAAACAAAACAAAAAAAAACAACCACAATGCAGGCATCCAATCTTTGATAAGGAGGCAGAAATAGCAGGATTGCTGGATTCTCCAGGAAGATAAGGTATCATGGTTAGAAAGTCGTTTTGAACAGATGTCCTATAAAAGGAATTCCAAGAATCTCCAAAGTCTGTGCTTCTGAACACAAACTTAGACTGTCATGAAGCTATCAATTGTCTTGTTGAAGCAGCAAAAACGCTTCCGATAGGTGTTTTCTTTAATGATAGATCATTCTCTTCAGTCTTACCCAAATCCACTGGCATTTCTGAAGTCAAATTCTATGTTCTTCTTTCCCCCTCCTGTTCTCTTCTGGCTCACAAGTTCTGTCTTTCCCCTCTGGTTTTCTTGTAAGACACACTATGTTTTTTTCTTTGGTTGTAAATAAATCCTGATAACCGCTGAAAACCGATTTTGTTTTGCTGAGGCTTAATTCTTTGGTTTAATGAAGTGATGGGGCAATTTTGTTATAGATGCACTTTATAGGACATGATAGGAATCTTACAAATTAGCTAGTAAAAGACATTTGAAGAAATCTTTGCCATTGAAAAATAATTGTTTTATACTCTATCTTACATGTTAACCTTGAGCTTACATCTTCCCAATGGAACGATCACTTTGGGAAGAAGTGAGGACCTCAGGATGGGTCTGAGAGGAGCAGCAGCTTGCTGAGTATAATATATGGCCATGTCGCCATTCTCCCTCATCCACAATCAATTGGATTCTTTTAGTTTAATATTTACTTGCAAAGATGAGATGCTAGTCTGCATGGTGATAAACAGTCTGCTCTTGGCATCTGAAGGTGACCTGTCAGTTCCTATGGACAAATCTGCTGCTTACTGAAATGTACAAAATAAATCATTAAAGCAGGCAGGTGCTCATTCCCAGATTTAAATCACCATAGATTTATGATTTGAATTAATGCTTCATTTGGCCATAGAAATAGATGCTGAGACAAATGATATGCACTGCTTGGGGTTTCCATACTGTAGCCATCGTGATATTGATTACTGAGATGTCTTTGCAATCTCTTGTTTATATCAAGTACTGTCTTGTGACAGGTTGGCTGATATGAGCTACATAGCAGATAAGAAGGAAAAATGTCCTGGTTTCTTTTTAGTGGCAACACTATCCACAACATACATGCCAGATAAATTGCTATTTTTTTGCTGTGAGAACTGATCTACATAACCAGCTTAAAAAAAATGCTGCTTGGAAATTGGAACTGGGATATTGAAAAGGCAGAATTTCAAACTGGTGAATCCAAGGTCAATTTGATAAATACATATAGCTGTGTTTTTATCTATTTATCCTTTTTTTTGGCACTCTGCATGCTTCTGAGGGTACTAAATTAATCACAGTCACTTTAGTCTAAATAAAGGAAACTTAATTTTACTTCTAGTTTCTAAATACTACATAAATATTGACATAGTGAGCATCTCTTAATAGTTTCTATGTTATTTATATACACGATGAACCTAATATCCTATTCCCCTGACCAATGACAACAAAGGAAATAAGTCTTTAAAGATAAATATATTCAATATCATTCCCAAGTGCAAAATTTGGTGAACTACAGTTTACCAAGAGACAGGAAAAGACTGCATTTTTACTTCTGTTAACATTTAATTTAAGGAAAACACTGTGTACACAGTTTAAAAAATGCTCAGAGGATTTAAGAGGGACCTTTGCCACTGGCTAATATCTGAGTCATGGAACTGGTAAACAGTTATCAACAATAGTAGATTGCTTGCTTAGTAGGAAATGAGTTCATATCTATTCAAAATGTGATCTCAAAACAGATGTACCAAGAAAATCTCATTGTTTAAACTATAGCTGTAACCCTCAGACTGCTGTTATTTCTTTAAGGAAATGATCTTAAGGTCTTAGTGTTTTCTCTTTTTGAACACTGAAGAATATAAACAAACACACATTTCTTGGTGATGTACAAACCAAAGCACATTTCACATGCCTCAAATATATGCTTCGTCTTTCATGTTGCCACACTTGGAATAATTACAAAGA